AGCTGGAGGCACCGGCGCGGGAGGCGCTGGAGCTGGAGAAATGGAGCTGTTGACCCTGGAGCTGGAGGTGCTGGAGCTCAGGGTGCTATGTCTGGTGGTACAAGTGCTGGAGGCACTGTGCGGCCGCGAACGTACTTCGTTCCCCTGCTTCAGCAGGTTCTTGGTGTCCCGTCTTCTCCTGGCCTTAGTCCTCCCGTACTGTGTCCACCGCCTGACCAGTCGCAGCCGCTGTTATAGCCAGCCTCCCCACTGCCTGCTCGTTCTCCTTACACTGAGCAGGTCGGCGGTCTTACAGAGCGACGTGTGCCTGCGTCACGTCTTGCCTCCCTTGTTTGCACTGGTCGTCGCGTTCCTTGTCCGTGTCCCCCTCGTGTGCCAGGCACCCACACTATGGCACTTCGTCCTTCCTCTGTTCCTCTGCGTGTTCCTCTACCGCATCCTCCTGAGTCCTCTCTTCCTGCCGTCCCTGACCTTGTGTCTGACCGTGCTCGTGCAGCCAGTCCCATTGTCTCTCGTCTCCTCGCCACTGTTGTCACTAACCCTTTGCTTGAGTCCACTGCTGCGTCTGCCCTCGTTGCTGAGCTGGTTGACTTTGCTACTGCCTGTCGTCTAGACTACACCACTGCTATTATTGCTGAGTCTGAGTCTGCCAGTCCTCCGTTCGTCGGGGGTGAGTGTGCTCTTGGCACGGACGTCCTTGAGGACTGGCAAGAGGACTTTGAGTGTCATGTTGCTGTTGTACCTTGTTTTGCTTCCATGCTGCTTCCACCTGAGGAAGACCCGGATGCACCAGACAACCCGACCCCACGCTTTTACGTAGAGGCGATTACGGGTCCCTACTCCTCTCAGTGGCAGATAGTCATGGACGCATAGATGGCATCCTGGTAGTCCACATGCACTTACGTCGACGCAGTTCCCCCTTCTTGGGCGAACATAGTCGATGGCATGTGGATTTTCAGGATGAAGCGGCCACTGGGTTCTTCGCCTGCCTTCAAAGCGCATTACGTTGCTAGAGGCTTCAGTTAGCGACAGGGGATCGACTACTTCCATAACTTCTTCCCCACCCCGAAAATGACTACTCTTCAGGTGTTGCTGCACGTCGCTGCTCAGCGTGACTACGAGTTGCACTCTCTAGACTTCAGTACAGCTTTCTTGCAGAGCAGCCTGTACGAGGAGATGTGGCTGCGCCGCTCACCTAGCTTCACTGGGTCGTTTCCTGCAGGTACCCAGTGGAGCCTTCGGCGGCCAGTCTATGGTCTTTGCCAGGGGTGCCTCGCGAGTGGCACGACACACTGAGGACTACACTTGCGTCTCTTGGGTTTCCTCCTTCTACTGCTGACCCGTCGTTGTTTCTACGCACTGATATGACGCTGCCGCCTTTCTACGTCCTCGTGTACATCGACGACCTCATCTTTGTCACTGCTGACACTGAGGCACTTACCCTTGTGAAGTCGGAGCTGTGGAAGAGACACACCTGCACTGACCTGGGTGAGCTGTGCAGCTATCTTGCAGATCACCCAGGACAGAGCACGGCGCACCATCACACTGACTCAGTCACACATGGTGCACCAGGTCCTTCAGTGCTTCGGCTTTCAGTTCTCCTCGCCGCAGACCACTCCTCTGTCTACCGGCCACTCGCTCTCAGCTCCATCTTTGGACAAGTCCGTAGAGCCGATTGGTCCGTACCCAGAGCTTGTGGGTTGCCTCATGTACCTGATGACGTGCACACGACCTGACCTCGCGCACCCTCTCAGCCTTCTGGCTCGCTACGTGGCTCCCGGTAGGCACTGAAAGATGCACTGGGATGCTGCGAAGAGGGTACTGTGTTACTTGTGCAGTACGTTGGGCATGGGGCTCGTGCTTGGAGGACGGGGTCTAGTTGTCCTCACTGGTCACGCAGACGCTTCTTGGGTTGACGACTCAGCTACGCAGCGGTCGTCACAGGGTTACACCTTCAGCCTCGGTTCCGACTCTGTTTCCTGGCGGTCTTCCCGCTCGTCTTCGGTTCTCAGCTCCAGTTGTGAGGTTGAGATCTACGAAGGGGCCATGGCTGCACAGGAGCTACGCTGGCTCACCTACCTGCGGACTAACTTGGGAGAGCAGCCTCGTTCGCCTCCAGTTCTGTACGTAGACAACAAGGCCATGATTACCCTCTTTCAGGAGCACAGACTGGAGCACAGAACGAAGCACATCGCTCTGCGATACTTCCTTGCTCGAGAGTTGCAGCAGCGTGGCCAGCTTCGTCTTGCGTACGTGGCCACTAGGGCCAACACTGCTGATATATTCACCAAGGCACTTATGCGTGCTGATCATCAGCGCTTCTCTACTGTGCTGGGCCTTGTGCCTACTTTGCCTCACTTGCTCACTGCGTGACTGTGCTTGTACTGTGATCTATATATATACCTGCATGTTTACACTTGCTAGGATATGATCACTGTATTGTTTGTTCTCTTTTATATAACTCTGCATGTGAACTGGCCTTGTGGCCCGTTGCTTGTGCTCGGACTGTGTGGTGTCTTTGTGATCCACCCTGAGCTTGCTTTTCTTTTATTGATTGATCTTGTGACCACTTGTTCTCCCTCACTTTGCCTATGGGGGTGCGTTAGAATGTTATAGTGCTTACTTGTACTGAACTCTTTCATAGTTTATTCATTTCTTGTTCAGTAGTTTTGACACAGCGATCATCAGCGACCGCGACACGAAATTCACCATCAACTTCCGGCGGAACCTGTGGCAGCAGTTCAGCATGCGACTACAGTTTAGTTCTTCGTACCACCCGGAAACCGACGGACAGACAGAACGGACAAACCAGACCATGGAGAAACTCATCCGAGCCACATGCGACGATCCGACCACCTGGGAACAGCAACTGCCACTCATCGAGTTCGCGTACAAAAAACTCGCCATCCGCCACGACCCAACAGTCGTTGTTTTACCTAAATTACGGACAAGACCCCACAGTACCCATGACTCCAAATCCCGACAACCCAGCACCACGCGCGCAACAGTTCGCACAATTTCTACAGGCAGCACGGACCCGAGCCGCATACGCAATAAAAAAATCAAACATCATCGCTAAGCGCAACGCCGTGTGAAGAATGTACGAGGAATGATGTCGACTAGAAAGGAGATGGGTACAAGTATGAAAACCTAGAAAAGCTGTACCCCATAATGTCTACCCCACTACAGCCTACACAGGCTATATCACACATGTTTGACACATCCCCATAGGCAAAGTGGGGGAGAACAAGAGGTCACAAGACCAGTCAATCAAAGCAAAGCAAGCTCAGGGTGGATCACGACGTCACCATACATTCTGAGCACAAGCACAAGGCCACAAGGCTAGTTCTCATGCAGAGTTATATATCAAGGTGAACAAGCAAGACAGTGATCTCAACCTAGCAAGGGTAAGCATGCAGATGCAGGTATATATAGATCACAGTACAAGCAAAGTCAAGAAGTGAGCAAGTGAGGCCAAGTAGGCACAAGACCTAGCATAGTACAAAAACGCTGATGATCACAAGGCTGAAGTGCCTTGGTAAAGATATCAGCAGTGTTGGCCCGAGTGGCCACGTAAGCAAGACGAAGCTGACCACGCTGCTGCAACTCTCGAGCAAGGAAGTAGCGCAGAGCAATGTGCTTCGTTCTGTGCTCCAGTCTGTGCTCCTAACACAAGGCAAGCATGGCCTTGTTGTCGACGTACAGAACTGGAGGATAACGAGGTGCCTCTCCCAAGTTGGTCAGCAGGTAGGTGAGCCAGCGTAACTCCTGTGCAGCCATGACCCCAGCGTAGATCTCAGCCTCACAACTGGAGCTGAGAACAGAAGACAAGCGGGTAGACCGCCACGAAACAGAGCCGGAACCAAGGCTGAAGGTGTAACCCTATGACTACCGCTGAGTAGCCAAGTCGTCAACCCAAGAAGCGTCTGCGTGACCAGTGAGGACAACTCGAGCCCGTCATCCAAGCACAAGCTCCATGCCCAATGTACTGCACAAGTAGCGCAACACCCTCTTAGCTGCATCCATGTGCTCTGGTCGGTGTCTCCCAGGAGCAACATAGCGTGCCAAGATGCTAAGAGGGTATGCCAGGTCAGGTCGAGTGCAGGTCATCAGGTACATGAGGCAGCCAACAAGCTCTGGGTACGGGCCACTCGGCTCTACGGACTCATCCGAAGGCAGAGCTGAGAGCGAGTGGCGAGTAGACAGAGGAGTGGCCTAAGGCGAGGAGTACGTGAAGTTGAAGCGTTGAAGGACCTGCTGCACCATGTGTGACTGAGTCAACGTAATGGTGCGCCGTGCTCTGTCCCGGTTGATCTGCAAGCCAAGATAGCTGCGCAGTTCACCCAGGTCTGTGCACGTGTGTCTCTTCTACAGCTCCGACTTCACGTGGGCCAGTCCACCCGTGTGAGCAGTAGCAAAGACCAAGTCGTCGACGTACACGAGGATGTAGAACGGCGGCAGAGTGGTGTCGGTGCGGAGAAACAGCGACGGGTCAGCAGTGGAAGGAGCAAACCTAAGAGCCGCAAGCGTAGTCCTCAGTGTGTCGTGCCACTCACGGGGCGCCTAGCGGAGACTGTAGACTGGCCGCTGGAGGCTCCACTGGGTACCAGTAGGAAACGACCCAGTGAAGCCAGGTGGGCGGCGCAGCCAGATCTCCTCGTGCAGGCTGCCCTGTAGGAAGGCTGTGCTGAAGTCAAGAGAGTGAAGCTCGTAGTCATGCTGAGCAGCGACGTGCATCAGTATCCGAAGAGTGGTCATCTTCGGGGTGGGAGAGAAGGTCTGAAAGTAGTCAACTCCCTGCCGCTGACTCAAGCCTCGAGCCACGTAACGCGCCTTGAAGACAGGCGGAGAACCCGGCGGCCGCTTCACCCTGAAAATCCACATGCCATCGACAATGTTCGCCCCAGGTGGGGGAACCTCGTCGACGTAGGTGCCTGTGGACTTCCAGGAAGCCATCTCTGTGTCCATGGCTGTCTGCCACAGAGAGGAGAAGGGACCCTCTATCGCCTCTGCGTAAGAGCGCGGGGTCGGGATGTCTGGTGCATCCGCGTCTCCCTCATGGGCAAGCAGCATGGACACGAGATGAGGTAAAGCCGCAGCAAAACACTGGAACTCCTCTTGCCTGACCTCAAGGACGTCCGTGCTAAGAGCACACTCACCCCTGACGGACGGAGGACAGACAGACTCAGACTCAGCAACAAGAATAGCGGCGTAGTCTAAACGACAGTGAGCAGCAAAGTCGACAAGCTCAGCAACCAAGGCAGACGCAATAGTGGACTCAAACGAAGGGTCAGTGACAACAGTAGCGAGAAGATGCGTGACAGTAGGACTGGCAGCACGAGCAAGGTCTGACGGCAGGTCAGCAACGGCAGGAAGAGAGGACGCAGGAGGAGACAGCAGAGGGACACGCTGCGGAGCAATGGAAGGACGCAGAGCCATCTGGTGCGTGCCAGGGACAGGAGGAGGACGCTGACGCGAACCACGACGACTAGTGCGAGCAGCACGAATAGGCGACGCAGGACGAGACTCAGGCTCATGACGCTCCGTAAGACCTCCTGTCGGACCAGTGTAAGGAGAAGGAGTAGGCAGTGGGGAGGCGGGCTGTAACTGGGACTGCGACACGACAGGCGGTGGACACTCTAAGGAAGGAGCAGGACCAGTAGAAGGCGGGAGACCAAGAACCTGCTCAAGGAGTGGAACGAAGTACGGCCGCGGCCGCGCAGTGCCTCCAGAAACAGAAGGGACAGCACCAGCACCCCCAGGGTCAGGTCCAACTCCACCAGCTCCAGCAGCACCTCCAGCAGCTCCAGTAGTGCCAACCCCAGCACCCCCAGGAGCACCGGCTCCAGCAGCACCTCCAACTCCAGCAAAACCACCAGAAGCCTCAGCAGCTCCAGTAGCGCCAGCTCCAGTACCTCCAGCAGCACCCGCTCCAGCAGTATTGCGAGCTCCAGCACCTCCAGTAGCTCCAGCTGCAGTAGAACCTCCAGCGCCCGTAGCACCACCAGCTCCAGCAGCACGGCTCCAGCGCCGAGCAAACCACCCGCGCAGCTGCTGTGGAGAGAGTGGCTCCCGCCGGGACGAAGCACCCAAAGGACCTCCACGCGCAGCACCTCCAGACTCCACACGAGCAGGCTCCGCACCCCCAGACTCAGCAACCCCAAGCTCAGCACCCCCAGACTCAGCACCCTTAAACTCAGCACCCCTAGGCTCCGCACGCTCAGGCTCAGCACCCCCTGACCCAGCACCCGCAGGCTCAACCCCCCCAGCAGCACCAGAGTAAACAGCTACCTCGAGAGGCTCGACTGCGTCTACCTGGGACACACCTGAGGGGGCAGGACCCTGAGGTGGGAGGGGGTCTATCGGGGGGGGGGACCTGGCGCGAGGAAGAGCGGCGGGGGGGGGGGAGGGGGGCAGTGCGGTAGGGGAAGAGACGGTAGTAAGGAACCGACTCGTCAAACGTGACGTCCTGAGAGGACAGAACATGGCGCGAGGTGGGGTGGTAAAACTGCCAACCAGGCGCGTCAGGGGGGAAGCCAAGGAAGACGCAGGGAACAGCACGGGAGGACAGCTTGTCCGCAGACAAGTCGCGGACGAAAGCTCGAGATCCCCAGACACGGAACGTGGACGCATCGCCAACCTTCCCCGTCCACCGCAGAGTAGGTGTGGTCTCCGGCACGAAGACCCGGGGCTGGAGGTTGATCTGATACGCCGCGTACTGAACCGCGAACGGCCACAAAAAATGGGGAGCAGCTGCATGGATCATGGACGTACGAGCGACGTCCATGACCATACCAAAGCGGCGCTCAGCAATCCCATTTTGCTGTGGAGAGGCCGGAAGCGTGAATGTCTAGCGGATGCCCTCCGCATGACAGAAGGCCCGCAGAAGGTCGGAGGAAAACTCTCCACCTCTGTCGGAGTGCAGACGCAGAACAAGAAGGTCCGAGCCGAAACTCTCGCTGAGCTGACGACGAGCAGCGCGGATCCAGTCGATCAGCACCTCAGTGACCTCACCCTTGCGGCGCAAGGGGAAGACTGTGGTGTAACGCGAGTAGTCGTCAACGACCAGCAGAAAGTAGCGCTCGTGACCCTGTCCACGGACGCGGGCGGGGCCCTACACGTCCATGTGAAGAGTCTGCAGGGGAGCCTCCGTCGGAGGGAACTCGGAGGAGTGAGGAGCGGCGCGCTGCCGCCCCTCGACGCAAGGAACGCAGGTAGGGGCAGGCCCCGAGGGGAGGGGAGGGAGAGACCGGGGAAGACCAGTGACAAGGACATGGGAGGCCATGCCTCGGAGACGAGGCAAGGAGGGGTGACCAAGGCGGTGGTGCCAGAGGAGAGTGTGGTGAGACAGGAGGCGACACGAGCAGGGGGCAGACTCAAGACCAGACCGGGATGCTGCAGCAAACACCTGACCCGACGCGGCTACCTGACCAGACTCAGCAACCGGAGGAGGCACGGTAGTGAGGGTGTACAGGCTCGACTCTGGCTGACGAGTGAACGTGGCCAGGTGCCGGCCCGTCCGAGTACACGAACAATGGGTCACCCGCTAACCTCCAGGAGTGAACTGGTCAACCCACGCATCCTGAAGGTCAGCTCCACTCACCAAGTTCGTGGAGAACGAGGGGAGGTGGAGGCCAGACAAAGAGCCAGACGGGACCGCCGGACACGGCAGAATCGTGGAGGAGTGTGTAAGGACCGGACCCCCAGAGGGGTCAGCCAGAGAGACTGCCACCGGCCGACTGAGCGGCGAGATTGTGGTGCAGTCGCGAAAGAAGGAGCGGGAAGCACCCGAGTCAAGGGTGAAAGTGTGCAAGACCTGAGCTCACGCAGTACCTGAGAGAGCAGCCTCACCAGCACCTAGAGAAGTAGCCTCAATGCCCGGGTCGGGCGGAACACACAGGTAACAGTCACCCTCAGCACGAATAGACACAGCATACATAGCAGCAAGGATAGCATCATAATCAAGATCAAAGATAGCAACCCCCGACTTAAGCAGATCACCCCAGCGAGGGATCTCAGTGGCGTCAGAAAACAGTGTACGCCAGGCGTCAGTCAAGCGGCCGAAACAGCGGAGCGTGGCGTGCGGGCCGCCGCACGTCTCTCCATTGCGGTCGCCGGTGCGGAGAACGTAAGCGCAAGGACCAGCACCCCCAGACCTCCCACGCCTAGCGTACCACTCATGAAGCTGCTGGGGCGACAGGGTCTCACGAGGGCGCTGCTGCTGCTGGCACTGGCCACCGCCAAAGCCTCCCCGCTGCACAGCGCCACCCCGACCAGCACCACCGCCGCCACCACCCCCACCGCCTCCGCCGCCGCCGCCGCCACCTCCACCCCCACTGCCGCTGCCACCGCCGCCTCCACCTCCACCACCGCTACCGAAGCCCCCACTTCCGCCACCACCCCCACCTCCACCCCCACCCCCTCCACCGCCTCCACCGCCACCACCGCCGCCCCCGCCATCCCCTCCAGCACCCTTGCCCCCCTTGCTCCTGCCGCTGCGGTGCCTCCGACTAGGAGCAGATGTAGCTCCGACCGACTCGGTGCCAATGAGATCGACAGTAGCAGCAGAGGCAACAGAGGGCAAAAGAGGGACGGGGGAGCACCCCTCAAAGAAAGGGGCACGAGGGTCACCACGAGAGGCTCCTACAGCGACTATACTCTTCTCAGCTGCAAGGAGGTGCTCCTCGAGGAGGTCAACGGTGAGCGTGGTGGGGCAAAGGGAGAGGAAGTGGTCCCTGACCGAGCGAAGGGAGTCAGGGAGCGGGGTGACGAGGTAGTAGAGAGTGATGTACATAGGGGGGGGGGTTCGCGGAGCATAACTCGGCAGGAAGCGCAGCGCGGTAGCGGGTGTCACTAGTGCGGAGGTGCGTAATGAGGTCAGCGACCGTGGCAAAAGCAGCTAGGTCAGGGAACAGGTACGGCAGCATGAGGCGGCTAAGGGCAGCAGTGGCAGGGGAGGAGTAGCGCGCAACAGCAGCGTCGTACAGCGTCTTAGCGGCTAAAGTGCGCGCACTCAGCAGACAGCAGGTGACTACGGACAGCTAGACGAGGAGCAGCATCGCGTGTGGTCCACTGTGAGCGAACTGTACTGTTAGCATCGGCAGCAAGGGCAACAGCCACGCCGGACGTGTGGTCGAACAGTGAGACTCCGTCCGTAGAGTCACACTGCAGAAAAAGCTGCAGATCATCGACCCAGACCTCAAAATCGACCGCTCGACCCTCAGCATCGAAGGTAAGGACATTAGGGCTAACCATGACAGGAGGAGTAGCAGCAGTAGCCTAGTAGAAGCAGTAGCAGCAGGAGCAGCGCGACTTGGCAGGGCAGCGCGGCTCGGAAGGGCGGCGCGGGTGCGGCGGTGCGCTTACCAGGGTAGGGCCGCCAACGGCGGCGGTAGGCAGGGCCGCAACAGCGGCAGTAGGCAGGGCCGCGACTGCGGCTGTAGGAAGGGCCGCAGCAGCTGCAGGCAGGGCCGCGTCAGCTTCAGGCGGGGCCGCGACAGCAGGGCGGCAGGGCCGCGACGGCTACAGGCAGGGCCGCTACGTCAGGGAGGCAGGGCCGCGACGGCAGGACGGCAGGGCCGCGACGGTAGGGCAGGGCCGCGACGGCGGAAGTCAGGGCTGCGACTGGAGGGCGGCGGACCCGCGTCAGCAGGGCGGCAATGCCGTGACGGAATCAGGCAAGGCCGCGACGGCAGGGGCCTCAACGGCAGGGGCCGCGACGGCAAGGGGCCACGACGGCAGGGGGGGGCCGCGACGGCAGGGGCCGCGACAACAGGGGCCGCAACGGCAGGGGCCGCGACAGCAGGGGCCGCGACGGCAGGGGCCGCGACTGCAGGGGCTGCGACAGCAGGGGCCGCGACGGCAGGGGCCGCGACGGCAGGGGCCGCGACGGTAGGGGCCGCGACGGCAGGGGGGGGCGACGGCAAGGGCCGCGACGGCAGGGCCGCGACGGCTCTAGTCAGGGCCGCGACGGCAGGGCCGCGAAGGCTCTAGTCAGGGACGCGACGGCAGGGCAGGCGCACGGGGCGCAGGTAAGGCAGGCGCGAGGCGCGCGACAGGGCAAGGAGCGCGCTTCGGGCAGGGCAGAAAAAACAAATATTAAGTGGTGGGCCCTAAAAAAAACGGTCCCACTAGGGAACCCGCTCTATACCATGTGAAGAATGTACGAGGAATGATGTCGACTAGAAAGGAGATGGATACAAGTATGAAAACCTAGAAAAGTTGTACCCCATAATGTCTACCCCACTACAGCCTACACAGGCAATATCATATATGTTTGACACGCCGACCGCCACCGCCGACCTGTCACGTACCAGCCCCACGACCTCGTACTACTCGACACTAAAAATCTCCGCCAGCCCATCACCCCAAAACTCCGCCCCCGATATTGCGGGCCATTTCGCATCAGCCACATAATCACACCCGTCACCGCCCACCTCCTCCTCCCGGCTGACTAGTACGTTAGCCCGTCATTCCACGTCAGCCTCCTCCGCCCATACGTACCATCCACTAGCCAACTGCCTCGCAACCGCCCCGCCAGCATGACACGACCGCCAAGAAGCCAATCATCGCGCCCGAAAAGATTTTGAGCCACCGAGTTCGTGACCCACGGGGAGCTCGCAGGATCGAATTTCTGATCCGCTGGAGACCGCACGCCGACCGAAGACAACTGGGTTCCCCTAGACAGAGTCGAAAACCACCCAGTCCTCACCGAGTATCTGCGAAGCCAAAATTTTCGGGATGTACACGCACTTTCGTAAGGAGGGCCTCCTTAGGGGGGGGGGGGGGGGGAGGGGGGGGGGGGGGGGGTAGTGTCAGATTATTATAGCTTAAACATTTGTGTAGGCTGTAGTGGGGTAGCCCATAAGCGGTACAACCCAATCAGGGTTAGTACTTGTACCCAACTGATTACTAGTTCATTCATTCTCGTTTGTAACTTTGACATGGAATCAGAGCAGGTTCCTTAAGCCCACCACCTGCTGCGTTGCTAGTACCCCGTTTCCCTAGGCCCGTCGTATTAGAATGTGAGTGAATGGAATGATTGAACTAGCAAGCAGGTGGGTACAAGTAGCAAACCTAAAAGTCTTGTACCCTATAAGAACTACCCCACTACAGCCTAAACAGACTATAGCATATAAGTTTGACACACCCCCATAGGCAAAGTGGGGGAGAACAAGAGGTCACAAGACCAGTCAAGAAAGGCAAAGCAAGCTCAGGGTGGATCACAAAGTCTCCACGCAGTCTGAGCACAAACGAATGGCCACAAGGCCAGTTCACATGCAGAGTTATATAAAAGAAAACAAGCAATACAGTGAACACAACCTAGGAAGTGTAAACATGTAGGTATATGTATATAGAGTACAGTACAAGTAGATCAAGAAGTAAGCAAGTGAGGCACAGTAGTTACAAGGCCTAGAACAGTACAGAAACGCTGATGATCACAAGGCTGAAGTGCCTTGGTGAAAACATCAGCAGTGTTGGCCTGTGAGGCCACGTAAGCGAGACGAAGCTAGCCACGCTGCTGCAACTCTCGAGCAAGGAAGTAGCGCAGAGCAATGTGCTTCGTTCTGTGCTCTAGTCTGTGCTCCTGACACAAGGCCAGCATGGCCTTGTTGTCGACGTACAGAACTGGAGGAGAACGAGGCGCCTCTCCCAAGTAGGTCAGCAGGTAGGTGAGCCAGCGTAACTCCTGTGCAGCCATGGCCCCAGCGTAGATCTCAGCCTCATAACTGGAGCTGAGAACAGAAGAAGAGCGGGTAGACCACCAAGAGACAGAACCGCAACCAAGACTGAAGGTGTAACCCTGTGACGACCGCTGCGTAGCCAAGTCGTCAACCCAGGAAGCGTCTGCGTGACCAGTGAGGACAACTCGAGCCCGTCCTCCAAGCACGAGCCCCATGCCCGACGTACTGCACAGGTAGCGCAATACCCTCTTCGCAGCATCCCAGTGCACCTTTCGGTGTTGACCGGGAGCCACGTAGCGAGCCAGAAGAATGAGAGGGTATGCAAGGTCGGGTCGTGTGCAAGTCATCAAGTACATGAGGCAGCCCACAAGCTCTGGATACGGGCCACTCAGCTCTACGGACTCGTCCGAAGGAGGAGCTCAGAGCGAGTGACCGGTAGGCAGAGGAGTGGACTGTGGCAAGGAGTACGTGAAGCCGAAGCGCTGAAGGACCTGGTGCACCATGTGTGACTGAGTCAAGGTAATGGTGCGCTGTGCTCTGTCCCGGGTGATCCGCAAGCCAAGATAGCTTGTCAGTTCACCCAGGTCAGTTCACGTGTGTCTCTTCTGCAGCTCGGACTTCACGTGGGCGAGTGCCTCAGTGTCAGCAGTAGCAAAGACGAGGTCGTCTACGTACACGAGAACGTAGAACGGCGGCAGAGTGGTGTCAGTGCGTAAAAACAGTGAAGGGTCAGCAGTGGAAGGAGCAAAACCAAGAGTAGCAAGAGTGGTCCTCAGGGTGTCGTGCCACTCACGGGGTGCCTGGCGGAGACCGTAGACTAGCCGCCGGAGGCTCCACTGGGTACCAGCAGGAAACGACCCAGTGAAGCCAGGTGGGCGGCGCAGCCAGATCTCCTCGTGCAGGCTACCTGTAGGAAGGCTGTGCTGAAGTCAAGCGAGTGGAGCTCGTAGTCACGCTGAGCAGCTACGTGCAGCAGTACCTGAAGAGTGGTCATCTTCGGGGTAAGGGAAAAGGTCTGGAAGAAGTCAACTCCCTGTCGCTGACTGAAGCCACGTGCAACGTAACGCGCCTTGAAGACAGGTGGAGAACCCGGCGGCCGCTTCACCCTGAAGATCCACATGCCACTGACGATGTTCGCCCCAGGCGGGGGAACCTCGTCGACGTAGGTGCCTGTGGACTTCCAGGAAGCCATCTCGGCGTCCATGGCTGCCTGCCACTGAGAGGAGTAGGGACCCTCTATCGCCTCTGCGTAAGAGCGCGGGGTCGGGATGTCTGGTGCATCCGGGTCTCCCTCAGGGGCAAGCAGCATGGACACGAGATGAGGTACAGCAGCGGCAAAGCACTCAAACTCCTCCTGTCTGTCCTCAAGGACGTCCGTGCCAAGAGCACACTTACCCCCAACGGACGGAGGACAAACAGACGCAGACTCAGACTCAGCAACAAGACTAGTGGCGTAGTCTAGGCGATAGGCTGCAGCAATGTCAACAAGCTCAGAAACAAGAGTAGACGCAGCAGTGGACTCAAACAGAGGGTCAGTGACAGCAGTGGCCAGAAAGCGCGTGACAGTAGGACTAGCAGCACGAAGGGAGTCAGACTCCGGGTCCGGACCGTCAGGAAGAGAGGACGCAGGAAGGAGACGGCAGAGGGACACGCTGTGGAGCAGTGGAAGGACGCAGAGTCATAGAGTGAGTGCCAGGGACAGGAGGAGGACGCTGACGTGGAACATGACGACCAGTGCGAACAGCGCAAACAGGCGACTCAGGACAAGACTCAAGTGACGCAGGACGAGACTCAGGCGACGCAGGACGCGACTCAGGCTCACGACGCTCCGTAAGACCTCTAGTCGGTCCAGAGTAAGGAGAAGGACCAGGCAGTGGAGAGGACGGCTGTAACTGCGACTGTGACCGGACAGGCTGTGGACTCAGTAAAGGAGGAGTAGGACCAGGAGAAGGCGGTAGACCAAGAATCTGCTGAAGGAGCGGAACATAGTACGGCCGCGGCCGTGCAGCGCCTCCAGAAACAGCAGAGACAGCACCAGTACCCTCAGCTCCAGGGTCGCCAGCTACAACTCCCGCAGCACCACCAGCCGCAGTACCTGCAGCTCCAACGC